AACATGTTCTTGCAATTTAATGATGGCCTCTTTGACATTCGGTGCCCAAGTCGAGACCAAAATAATTACGTGCAACCCTACGACGAATGCGATGGCGAAACGAACAAGCTCCTCCGAACGAGTGCGTTGTCCAAGAGATTATCAATTGCAAAAATATTGTACAGATAAAGTTGATAATAGAGAATGTCAATTGCAAAAATTTTGCAAAGATAAATGTGAAAATACAAAAGTCAACAAAATTGAATTGTATTTATTGCTGCTTCTTTGTTTGGGCAACCATGATGGCGACAAGCTGGGCCATTGTGTCCGACTGCGCCTTGATCGCATCGAGAACGTCATCCAACGTGGCACCTTGTGCAGTCTGCGCCGGAGGCTGCTGCGCCATGGAGGTTCCCAAGAACATAAGTCCCTCCTTGATGGCATTAAACCCAGATTCCAAAGACTCCGAATTGGATTTTGACTTCTTGTCCGGGCTGCTTTTTTTCACCTTTTTTCGTTGCGGCCCTTCAGTCTTGCTTTGTTTCGGCCCTTCCGTCCGTATTTCTGGCGCATCGACGTTTTCCACCTCAGACGTTTCTACAAAATAATTATTTCTCGTAAAAATAAATTGGTCAGGCTAAAATCATTTCAAAATCGGAATCAATTATCTCTCACAAAAATAAAACTTGCTCAAGCAAAAATCATGGAAAAATTCTGACTCAAGAAAATGGAAATAGATAGCATGATAGATTTATTGATACCGATTTTTGTTTCGGCGTTGTCATCGTCGCTGAGATCGTCCGTACTCATCAGAGCTTCCCTTTGGTAGCCAGCTTTTTCACCCCAGTATTCCAACATAACATCGTAGTGCATTGGAATGGGATGCAACGCAGAGTTGCCCGTAGGACTTGGCAAACTTGGCTTTGAGATTGACCACTCTGTTTTCAATTTTGCAAACTAATCACTGGTGATAAATTAAAGTGTACATAAATTACAAAAATATCTGACCTTGTCCTGCACTTGCTCCGACGTGAATTCACGTTTCATGGCAATGCTAAGCTCTGTCGCAAGCATGACGTAAGCCACACGTTTCCCGTAGTTGTTCTTCGAGTCAAAACGTGTGGCCAAGTCAGACTTGTAACGAAGGTCGAACATTTTTTCGACACTCGCATCGCACCAAAGGTATGCCCTTTGGACTTGTGGACGCAACTTCTTCGATTTGCGGCCCTGTGAGGGCACTATATAGTGGATTGTTCGATACATGCAATTGACCAACAGGATTTGTGTACCTTGCACAATGCTTGGATCGGTTTGACTACCGAATTCGTCGTCGCTCATTCTACCCGACTGGACCCAGGCTACAGTGAAACACGAATGTCTGCCAAAAGCAAGAATGGTCCATCTCTGTCTGGAGCCACCAACTCAAACATGAACATTATCCGAAAACCGGATACCGCTGACCAATCAAATTCATTTCGTTCATGCTTTTCAAACAGAGACATGAACAAAAACCTTCAGCGACCAGGCCCTAATAAAGTATTGGAGATTCAGTATGAATTTCGAGTCCATTTTTTGGTCGTCCATCCGGGGGAGTACAGCGGGCTTTGTAGTATAAGGCCGAACCTTTCTGGTAGGCGTCAAAAACGTGAACTGTACAGCTGTCATAGATGTTGAACCTGAAGAGTAGTACGAACATTTCGTATGGAATCTCAGATGAGATGTGTGTTAGGGTTAAGTAAGCGTTGTTCACTCATACAGTATGTCAATGAGATGATTTATGTTTACTCATGAGGGGGAATCAGTTTATTGACACGACATGAATTTCTCGCAATGAGGCAGTTGAGCAAGTATTTCCCG